AGTCATAGAGCTTTCTTAGAAAGGACCAGCTCTCAAATTGCCAGCTTTACAGAGAAGACAGTTGGAGATGAAAGCAAAAGGAAGGCAATTCATTTCCCTGATGTCTTGAAGGGAATATAAATAATTCTGCATTGACTCTATAGACATTCTGGAAAATTGAGGAACTTTTGTTCTAATTTGTGATGAAAACTATAGTTGCTTTCTGGTTGTCTTGTATTTATGCCTTGCCAATCAGAACCACTTTCTCTTCTGAGCCAGATATTAGAAAGACTTTTCAGTTTGCAGAAGATTCTTTTTAATGGCGCAGTCACGAGTTAATAACTTACACCTTTGCTTGGTGAATTAGGTCTTCACGTGATTGTAATGTTACATTCAAATTATAATGGTTTTTAAAAGTTTTCCAGTAGAGCTAACAAAAAAAGGAACCAATGGCATTTGTGACGTTATCAGAAGTACAAAGTTAACAATATTACTGTGAAGTTAAAGTGGTATTTTCACTTCATAGGAAATTTTTAGCCTTAAAGCAATTAAAGCAGTAACGATCCAATTTTCTTTTTCCTGGGATATGAAAATTCAAAGAAAATATGAGCTAGGAAAGTATACAATTTCCTAAATGAAGTGCAGTCTCTGAAGCCTTAAGTTCCCTTAAGTATAATCATGCTTTGGCTTGATAGTCAATCTCAATAACATAAAACTCGCGTTCTCAAAATTGGTACTTACTCTCCTGAGAGCTTCAGTATTGAGAGGCTTCCTTTGTTTCCTTTGCAATCATTAGCACTAGAAACTTGATTTCTTGAATGAAAGATAACATTCTCTGCTTCTTATTTGTTTCCTGGTGTTTTAGTAATAATAAATATCCTTAAAATCATGCTAATATTCCATGTTGGGTCACAATACAGAGTATAAGAAATCAAAGCTAATTTAGTAGAAGTACAACAAGTGGCAGTGCTATGGTCCAGTGAAATTAAACACTCATAACTCCAGTGACATAACTGCACAGATATTTTTTCACATATGCTTAGTATGCAAGCAAGCTCATCTTGTGGGAGAAATTCAGTGTGTGGCCTTCACAACCTACCTCAGAGATTTGCTGTGGGGATTTACTAGTTAAGATTTGTAAAGTGCTTTGCAAATTATAAACCTTCAAGTTGTGTAAATGCTAAGCACTATTATTTAATACTTAAATATTAGAACCAAGCCTTACAGGCCTTCACCTTACTTGTACAAGTCTTTGTGAGGTCAGTATGGATGTTGCAAGAGGTAAGGCAAGCAGAACTGATCAGAGGAGAAAGAAATTTCTTTCTTAATTCACTGTCAGAGATTGATGTGAAACACAACTCTAAAGCTGTTAAAGAGAGACTAACTGAAAAATAAATGTGAAAAGCAATAGTATATAAATCCACGTAAGAATATAGTACTCCTTAAAGCGCCAATTCCTTACTTATTCTATATAACGTCTTAACCAAGTAAACCTACTGACTCTGTTTTCCAGGAAACACAATTCAGACCCCAAATGCATAAATGGATCGAATACAACACTAATATCAGCTGAAATGTTTCCAAGTGACAGTAAGAATGGGCAAAATCTATGCACTGGTTAAGTTGTACTTCACGCATATTTTAGGTTTGACTTAATCAAGTAAAAACTAGTTTAGTAAAGGTTTTGAAAGAAATATGAACACAGAAAAACTTGTCTATCAATCAGGTTGAGAACACCTTCTTTGACAGTTTTTTGGTTAACTTTTCTTTCTGTGTCATCTTTCCTCTTCCTTGTTTTACAGTGTCAGATTTCAGAGGCAGAAGTTAAAGAAATACATACTTGGATGGATTTTAAGGCTGTTACTTGGTTGTCTGCTTGTTGTGGAAGGTTCTTTCATTTGGTTTGTTGGTAGGTTTGGTTTGTTTGTTGAGTTTCCTTTTGTTTTTGCTGTATCAGAGGGACAGAGCGTTTCTTAATAAGATAACGTCAAGCATTAACATGAACGAATTTGGTACCTAACTACCTTGAATGCAGATGAACACAATTATTTCAGGACTGCTGGCATCAATGCACTGTAGATGTTAGGGTGGCATGTTGTCAGCCCCTGAGCAGCGTCCCAATTTCCTGAAGCAATAAAACCCTATTTGGCATGCAAGGAAGGAGAGTTGGATTTATTTATCTTATAAGGACTAATTACTATTCATTGGCAGTCTCCATGCAGGACAAAGCCCTCAGTACTTAAATTTCTTGCCTCTGCAAAAAATGACGCAGGCATTCCACAAGGAGATGATTTTCAAGCATTTGCATTTACTCTCTGTGGCTAAGAATAAAGATTACTTTCCTGCAGCATTTTGACATTTTGATCTGAATTGAGGCATATAATAAAAATTCATTTCAGTGAATGTTCAAGTATTAACTGAAATTCAGTATCGGAGAGGAGTAAAGGTGAGAAGGTACAAAAAGAGAGTGAAAAGTGTACTACTAAAGCAGATGCATATCCTTGAGGAATATGGTTTAGTGAGAACTACTGGCGATAGATGGACAGTTGGACTGGATGTAGGTCTTTTCCAGCCTTGGTGATTCTATGATTCTTGCCCTTTCCTGAGTGGAGGAAGTTGCAGGCCTCTAATGCATCTACATCTCTTTGAAAAACAAACTTTGCTACCTGTATTTAGATATTTACAGTTTTTGTGTCACGGGAGTTAAATTATTTGTCCCCAAACACACAAAAAGTCCATGAAAAAGCCAGAGCTCATCTTAACTTTCTAGACACCAGTGCTGATCCCCTTTAGACATTCCATTTAGAAATAGCTTAGAGTAGACTTGAAGTGTAGGTGTACATTGTTCACTGAAAAAACTGGCTATGTAGGATGGCAAATTTCACTCTGCATGTTTTGTTACCAGGGTCTTATCAGTCCTTATCAGTCCACATATTCCAGGTGATGAGGGAAAACAGAGAATATAAACCTTATTCAGACTCAGCTCCTGAAACTTGAAAGAGTCCCAAGAGTTTTAGGGGTTCTTTGTTCTGATTCAGACTCAGTTTTCCAGTTCTCTATGTCCTTTTTTCCTGTTCTTTCCAGTCCTCTACTCACTTCCACAGTTATTTTTCAACCTCATTGTCACGCCTGAGGCAATATAAGCAACTCAGCTGTACTTTCTTTTGTCTCTCAAGAACCTTTTTCTTGGATTTCCTTATTGCCTTCTCCTTTATTTATAGAGTTTTAAATCATACAATGGCAGCTATTCATCCATTTTGGATGCAAATTATGGGTTATTTATGCTGTTGCTCATACTAATAGCAAACTGCTTGACCTATATTAGTATTCTTAATGCTCATTTTGGCAGAATTGAAATTGGTGTGTTTCTGAATGGGCAGGAATTTACCAGGTGCATTATAAATCTAGTTAGAATTAGAACAAAATACAGATGGGTCTTTTGATGCCTGAGCTACTGGGTTTGAAAGATAGAATGACTGCTCTCAATTTAATATACAGTGCAGTTTTCACGTGATTTTAGTATACTGAGCAATATTGAAACACTACAAAAACAGAACCATAAACAAGTGATTTTGAATGCTGCTTAAAACCAGTATCTAGTATTTAGTATCTAGTATCTAGTACATAGTATATAGTATATAGTACATAGTATACAGAAATGAAGTCATTTCTGGTTAGCTGGTATTTATGAAGAATTTTACTGTTCAGATATGCTACAGGAATAAGTATGGTGTTTTGTCTGCTTAGTAATTTGTCTGTTCTCATTTTACCATCCACTAAGCCAAAAAGAAAAAAAAAGAAAAAAAAAAAAAAAAGAATGCTTGTTTTTAAAACTATTTGTTAGCAAACACTGGAGTTTTTAAATGAAAATTGTGAACAAATCTTTACCCAGAAAAGGTAAACAACTGACCAGAAAAGGTAAACAAATTCCTAAGATTAAACTAAAGCAGGTTTTCTATAATGTTTACGAAATCACACATACTGTAGCTGCATTACTAGTCTTGTTTCATTTAGAAAATTGTGGTGATTATCAGAATAAAATTAGGTATGATGGATCACTACATTCGAGCCTGGTACATCAAGTCATCTCTTGCTAAGGGAAAAAAACTTGCCTTCTTATTGCTAAGGGTGTAATTCTTCTATCTTCACAGGACCACCCCAACAGGAAAATATAAGAAATTCTTGATAGAAGTCAGATAACTTTTCGCTACCAACTATTTAAATTTTCTTATAGAAAGAAGCTGTGAACCTTCTTAATGTTAGTTCAGGGGAAACAAGGTACAAAGTAAGAACAGAGCAATAATTTATGCTACTTTTCTTCTTAAAACTTAGATGTCTTTTCCTATACTGTACATATACTTTGAGAGTGGATTTCCATATATGAATATGAGACTTTTTCTAAATTCTGAAGGATTTTTTATATAGACTGAAAAATTCTGTGGGAGAGGAAGTTCAGAATATACATGCTGGGCTGAACTATCCACCAGAAGTATTGTAAACATGACAGACTCCTTAGCTACTTCTGGTGCCCTGAGCTCCCAGTGAAACCATTTTCCTAGGAATATTGTCTTCCTTCTTTTCTTCTTACTCCTTCCCGTATGTACCCACACCTTGCAGCTATCAGGAATAAAAACAAAAACCTAACCCAACACATGGGCTCTGATTTCCAGCCATCAGCGTATTTTAGTGATGGGAGTGGGGATAGTCTCACTCAATTCCTCCTGGCCATCAAGAAGTAGAAAATACATACAACACATCCCACTTAGACCCTCCTATCCCAACTGCATGACAAGTAGGAAATGAGTCTTGTGTTAACTGCATGTGTGTATATTCTGAGTGGAAGCACTGTGATAGTCTCTGTTTCAGATAGGGATCTTGAAAATTTACATTCATTAGTTTACTAAACCTGCAGTTTCACTTCCCTTACATGTCTGAAGTTAGATGATAATACCAGCATGACCTCCCAAAATGCATAACAAAATTTTTAGAGACTTTGAAGTTGTCAGCCATTTGAAACTTACCCATGCAACTCACTTTCTGAAGACTTTCAGACATCTCTTTTGAAGCAAAATGTTGTTCTGCTCAATGTCATCACACAGGAGAAGACAACATTATTCTCTGTGGGTCACGCTTGGAGCATTTAGGCCTTGACAGAGCAAACAATAGCATGAAAAGCACCTGAAATTAGAGGTAAAAAGAAGTGGTTAGAATGCAGTCCCCAAAAGCCTCTACACCTGAAGTATCCCCAGAACACTGTAAAATACAGTGCAGGAACCATACAAGATTTTTGTCCACCTGTAGCAGCCTGTGGAGGTCCAGCAGGTTCCCCATGATCATTGCACATGGCATTAACTTTACGACACTAAATTTAGACCTTTCAGCCAAGCCCTAAGGTCTTCATTTGAGTGAGTATTTTAGAATCTTCTTAATCAGTAAGAGATCTATTCAGACCTGTTCAACTGGAGTTCAGAGTGCAGATCAAATGAAAAACATAGGTATGCTAAGAATCTCAAGACTAGACACAGTCCCCAAGTTTGCATGTTACTAATGTGAGGTATTCACTGAGATTTTTACACTGCTGTAACAAACATAAGAATCCCAGCTAGAAACTTGACTTGCTTTCTTCACTGTACTACATATAGATTAAATTTAAATACTTGTGGAAGCATGTAATTTGTTGGGTATGAGTACAATCGTAGCCATCTCTACTACAGCATTATTATTTCAGTTGTGTTACTGCACAGTTTGCTTTATACCATTTGTTAATTTATAATAGAAACACACACTCATCAGAAATTTTCAGTGCTTTTCTCCCCATATCATGGCATTTTGCCTAGTTTCTGTTTGGTTTTGTTGCAAATAAATATTTTTGATTTTTATGTGTGGCTTCCTTGTTCATTTCACTTTGTTTTTCTATTCAGCAGATTTTCAACCTGTACTTATTGATTAACCATCTGAGTCACAGAGCAACCCTTCTAATCAACATTGTAGCCTTTATAATATCCTCATAAAGGATGCTGCAGTTAACAAATTTTAATTCTAGACATTGGGAAGTTTTATCCATCTAGTCATTCTTTAGCTATCAGTATATCACTGCTGTGCTGCTTGCCTTTACTGATTACCTTTGCTTCCACAAAGGAAATCTAGGTGAAAGTGCTAAGCCTCCTGTCAGAGATAACTGGACTCCACAGAGAGGAAGATGACAGAAGAAAAGCACGAGATCATCAGCTAGGAGGACAACTACTGTTCCCAAAATATCCACAGCATCTTCTCCAAGATGCAATATCTGACACCTGCATCTGTATGCATCTTCATCTTACAGAAACAGCCACTTTTTAGCATGGGATGCCTTAAATCAGCATGCAGTCAAGGACAAGTGAAGTATAAAATTATACTACAGAACTGAGTTAATTCCTTTCTCCTTGTAATGCATATACTTGTGATGATTATGTTCACTTCTACAACAAGAAGCAACTCCTTACCACCTGAAATCAGCTAAACAATCAATTTAAAAATCTCTGAATATTTCACATTTTGTACGAAGTCTGGCAAAATATATATATATATATGCACATATACATTACACATACATTACACACTGCTTTCTCTCTCATTTGTAAGAAAGCCTTGTTTGCAAATAATTTTTTCTTTCTCAGTTTTTCAAAACTATAACATCTCTACATTTGAAGACTCGCTCCTTAGAATTCCAAATTAAAAATAATGAAGAAAACGTAACCCTTCGTGTTTTTCTCTATCCATACCACATCAATTTTCAAGCCTAATATTAAAAGACCATTCCTTTCAGCAACATCAAAACATAATGTTTCTTAGCCTTCTCATTCCAGGAAACTCAGAGAAGTGATTTCAGCAAATTAAATCCAACAAGAACACATCAAAAGATATTTGATTTGACATCTTGATAATTTTTAATTGATTAATAGCATCTTCTGTTTATTCTGTCAATAATTTTAACTTACTACTATTTTAACTGAATACCAGCAAATTATTTCCTTAGCTGTTTATTTGTCAAAATATATTGTTATTATAACAGTAGGATCTATTCATTCCTATTTTATTTCTCAGAGAAAATGCTAGTGTCTCTGATGGCTCTGACCGCATTCACTTGTTACCTAAAGCTACTTGTCAGACTGGGTGGTGTTTCCTACCTAGCACCCCAGCCTCACAATACATATAGAAAAGAGACAGAGAGATAGACAGCTAACTCTACGGGGAAATGTGTCCTGTTCTAAAAAAGCTGGAATGATTTGCATTTCATAATTGCCTACTGCTAATAGACTAATTTATCAGACTAAATTGGAGTACATATATAATGCTTGGCAGCTTTGATCATCTAAGAGGAATGCAGCCCCAATAAAGCAGTGTGATTCAACTAAAAGAAATTATGAAGAGCAAGACTACTGCGTTATACTTCTTCCTGAACCTGAAAGACAGCAAAGAGCAAATGCAGCCAGATTTCACTACCACTACTATTCAGCAGCGCTTTCTGTTGACTAACTAGTTATTGGTTACCAGTTCAAACCTGCCTGAAGAAATTCAGTGTAAGTTAAGCAAAATCAAGCTGTTTGAGAGTGAACATAAATTACTGGCATTCTTTGTCTTTGGATGATTAAGGGGAGAGATAAAAGTATTTCTCCAAGGACCAAATTTAGACTCTGAGTTGGCAATGTATTACATCTGATTATCTGGACACAAGTCCCCAGTCTTCCTTGCTCTATACAGAGCTATATAGACGCCTGTTTAAAAGCCTTAAAAAGTGTTTCAACTAGTTTTAATTTTATGTAATTTAAATGTAATATTCAAATGAATTTTTAATGTGCCATTAAAACCTGGGGTTTGTTCACCATTTACAATAACACGACAGGAGTTCTGTCACCTCTGACTGATTTGTCCTTAAGATCAATAAGAAATTTTCAGAACCTCGAGATAAGCTAAACTGTGTGCCTTTGTAAACTAAGTCTCTTTAAAGATCTGGAAAGCTGGCTCTGCTCTTTCAAAAAAACTTATGGTTTTACATGCACACTTTTTAGGAAGGATAATTTTAAAACAGAAAATCTACCAACCATATCAGCTAGACAGAGGTTCTTTCTATACGCAGTAAGAATAATGCTGTTGCCTAACTCAAATACCAGTCTTTGCTGTCCTTGCTGTTTGCATGCAAGTTTACCACATTCCTTTGCTGGAAAGGAAAGAATGCAACCAACAGATTTTTCTGTTTATAAAGAAAAAGTATATGCAGAAGTTTCACTTTATTTGGTCATCATTATTCAAAGCAGCTTAGTGAGAGAGAAAGATGTTACCTGTAAAGCTATATAAAAATACAAGAGCAATTTCAATCTAGACAGCTATGTTCATTAAGTATAAAAGCAACAGTGATAGACAACAAGAAAACTGTTTTCATCTTTTATCAATTTCTCACAGTTCTCTAGGAGTTTTCTAGGAGTTTTCAGCAGTGTTTCTAGAAACAGGAGCAATAGCAGTTGTAGGTAAAAACATCTCAGTTTAGACTCGGACAGCTCTGTTCTAACTTTCCTGTCCTCTCTTTCGTGGCTTCTGAGGGACAATCTCGTTCTATATTCTCAGGCTGCTTTCTTCAACCCCTGCCTACTACCACAAATGCATGAGGTTGCATTTTCAGGATCACTTACTGCTGTTGAAACATATTTGTTTTTGTTTTGCTTGCCTGTAAATACATTTGCAGTTCCTTAATGGCTCTGATATCTTTGTTAATCATCTTCAGCAGAATTTCAGCACAAGGGTCTTAATTTACCTTCCAAAGATTCACATTCACAGGTATACCACAGTCAACACTTGGGTTAGTTCAGACAAATCCTAGTCTGGATAATTTTGCACTAATCTTCAGATGGCTTTATAGACAAAGACACAATGGTTTCTTTCCAGCTCTCAGTGGCCAAGGAGAGCACTGAAAATTAGCTTTACTGAATATGAGGCTAAAGTTTTGAAAAAGGGACTAAGCTACAATTCCAGGAATTGTACATGGATAAAGAGCTAAACAGTTCAGACTTAGTGAAGTTTACCTATGGAAAGGTAAATGTTTCTCTGAAACACAACTCAAGTTTCCCAATAGTTAGCTGAAGACAAGATATACATGCTACAAAGACCGTCCTTATGTGCTTAAATCTTACCATATGGATGAGCTTTGGCAGAGGCCACGCTGTTAATGCCAAAAGACAGATGAGTGTCTGAAGGAGTGGGACTTTCAGTGGTGAGTACTGCAACACCTACATCTGCCTCAAGGAAGCGATCCATATGTATTCTTAGCCAAAGTCAATTTGTTAAGGGACATTGCCTTCTGTCTTGATTTCACAGCACTCTTTGCAAGAGGATTAGTCTAAATTTCCTGTCTTTCCCTGTTATATAAGCTTCCTCTGACTTAAAGCTTACTTCAGCTTCTTAGATAAAGATACATCCTTCTATAATTTATATCCAGAAATCAGTTGTATATTTCAGTCTCATTTAGTCATTTCTGTAAAAGTATTGAAAGGGATAATAAGATTAAAATATTTTAAATAGAATAGGAAGCATTTATTATCTGCCTTATTTTATGCTAGAAATTAGGCATATAATTACAATGGAAAATTATCTAACAGTGTACCTGACTCATTCTTCATTATATTATCAAAGTTAGAAACAGCCTTACTAAGTGTCCAGGGAATAAGAAATGATAATTATATCATCTGGCACTGAGTACTCTGGTAGTACTTTACAAAAATAAATAGCTATTGTACGTTGTCTATTTAATGTAACTGGGCTGTATGAAAAGAAGTTTAGAAAAACTCTTATGTAGAGTTTTCTATTTAAAGAAACTTTCTAAATTCAGCAAAGAAAAATCTTTTTTAAAATGTGTTTCATTGTTTTTCAGGCTTTTCTGATTGATTTGGCATGCAAGAGAGTAATCTAATTGTTACTACTGTGATGAAGTTTAGAACAGAATCCAACATTCTTGATAGATCCTCTTGCTTTTTGTTTTGTTTTTCTTAATTTCCAACAGATTTTAACTTAAATATGTAATTCACTGCAAAAGAATTTAAATCCTTTAGATTTTTTATGAGACTATCTGGAATGGATTGGCTAATGGGACTATTTGGCTAATTGGATTGGCTAATGGGACCTGTACAGGCTGGGAGGAGCAGTCCTTG